GTAATGTCAATGTTGCTGAGGAGGAAAACCAAGGTTTTCCAACAACAGTTAAATACTGTACTGCCACAAAATATTGATCTTTAAAAATCTATATCTGTGATTTTTGAAAAAGCCAAAAAAACAGGTTATTTATCCTAATACAATCTAAATGTCTGTATTAGTGGGTTGCTCTATGATTATGACTAATTATGAACAATCATGTTTACAATCTCAATATTCTCTTTACATGAGTTTACATCAATTACAATCACAGTAATGCATTAATAACATGATAACAGTGAATTTTAATGTCAACTCATGGGTGTTTAAAATAATTTAGTTTCCTCAAAGTGTTAACCGTGGAAAAACAAAAGGTTCCAATATCAATAACTGAGTAACTCGCATGTCTTCAATGCATCAGAACACATCAATAAACATCAGACTGAATATTACTGTAAAGCGCTTTTTAAACAAACACTTAAAATATCACAACGTGCTCACATTTCAACCAAATATTCGCTTTAGTGTGATTAACATTGAGTTATTATACACAGGTTAAAGGGGTCAAATGATGTTGCTAAAAAGAACAACATTTTGTGTATTTGGTGTAATGAAATGTGTTTATGCGGTTTAAGGTAAAAAAAACACATTATTTTCCACATACTGTACATTATTGTTTCTCCTCTATGCCCCGCCTTTCTGAAACACGTAGATTTTTTACAAAGCTCATCGGTCCGAAAAGCAAGGTGTGCTGTGATTGGCCAGCTATCCAGTGCGTTGTGATTGGCCGAATACCTCAAGCGTGTGACGGAAATGTTACGCCCCTTACCATATTGTGATGATGCCCTGTCAGGCATCGCATCATATGACCCCTTTAAAAAAATGTTTGAATGAAACCCACAAGGCTGCACTGACCACTTCTCTTGCCTTTTCTTTCGTCACTTATTTCTGGTCTTTCACTCAGCCAGTCAGAGCTATTCAGGAGAAGAAATTATCAAAATGGCCATCTGAAAATTAACAGCAAAGATTTATTGACTATATCTCTGCAGCTCATGAACAGTTTTGGGAAAAAATGAAATCACAAGGTTTGAAATTGACATGAATATGTCAAGGAACAATGACATAGACATGTACTTGTCAAATTGCAATGACACAGACTTGAATAAGCCAAACTGTGATCATTGCCATGGTTACAGGGCAGGGTGGATGTAAGAGATATGCTTTGTGCACTATTGTAGTTTTTGGTTTTGAGAGCAACAACTGTAAAGGTTTTAAAATGGAAATTGATTGTAATGTAAAAATCTGAAACACATGGAGCCCGAGTCTGTGTTTTGATCTTGCCAAGCGGTACAATACATTTAAAAACAATTCCACACATTACATTTTACATAAACTGTTACAGAGTCCTTGACTGATTTCAGACTGTTGAGGATTATAAATGCAGTCACACATAAACATATGTGGGGAGTCATGTCTTCATGTTTCAGCTGGTCATTTGTTTTGAGTGCAACAAGTTACCAAGTCTTCATCTTACAGCAGGGAAGGCTTCACCTGATGTGATTACAGCTTAAATAATGGTGAAGATTAAAGATTTAGAGACACGTTTCTGAATGTTAGTGGAGTTTAATGAGATATAGAACTTTTCAGAGTTGTTAGATGTTGCGTCAGATGTGATTAGTGTAACGAATCACTACGTTTAAAGAAACAATGCTTGATTCTGCCATCAGAGCCTCCACAGCATCCCCATAAAACTACCTTGTCATGCACTTTATTGATATAACACTAAAGGTACGGTCACATTAGGAAATTTTCAAAGGTAAAAAAAACAAAAAAGTATGTATGGGGGATACTTATTAACTATCTATCAGATCTATCTCCAATGTTCAGTGTACAAATAAGTACTGAAATGTTGACACAAACATGGGTTTAACCTTTTCTAACACTGAATCAAATTAAACAGAAAAGCCCAAAAAAAAAAAAAACAGACGGTGTTTCAAGATGTACTGTATAAAAAGATAGTGCTTAAAGTTACAAGCTGGGTCTGAAAGCTAACAGGTCTACCTATTTTAGTCAACTAAAATAGATAATTAAAAAAAACGTATGTGTCAACACATAGTTTGACAATGAATCACACTTAAGCTGAACTAGATATTCTCTATAGGACAATAGAAATAGCTTAATGAATTTGAAAGATACAACTGAGATAATTAGAAATAAAAAAATAGATACATACAACTGGTCGACCGATATATCGCCAAGGCCGATATATCGGCCGATATTTAAAATCTTTCATATATCAAATAATTTTTCATATATTATTTCATATATAGTTCTTCTAAGTTCTAATACGGATAGAAGTCTGTCTAATAATCAGATAGAACGGTTGAACAAAGGAATTAAAATATATAGTATACAAAATTATTTCTATTATTTGTAATAGAAAGGCAAACATTATAATACTTTCTCGTTTGCCGTAAGCATTCAGCAAATACGCATTTATATAATTTAAACAAATCTTTGAATGAATAATGAACATTTAATTTCACAAACCTTGCAAACTTAGTCGAATCCAGCTGTGAGATCTTGTGAAGGGCGCATTTGAATTGAATGCTGACAGGAGGAGAGTTCAGCTTCACTGGAGACGCGCGGTCGTCAAACTTTAAACTCGTGATTTTAAATTATGCTGCGCTTTATGCATTTGCCCACTGTCATATTCATGTAATTGTCACTGTGTGCTGTATGTAAAATGAGTGTTACCTTGGCTTTATTTGAAAAAATATGATTCCCAATGCACACAAACTTCCCAGAATACTGAGTGCCCGGTTACAGTTTACTTCCTTTTTAATTATATTTTTATTAAATATTTATTTATTTGTAAAAAATACTTTGTCATCTAAAGTATAAGTATGTTTATTTTACACATTTATTTTTTTATCCATTTTCAAAGGATTTCAAATTTCTTGAATATACAAGTCGGTCAAACAAAACACATGTCGGTCGACCACTACATACAACCACCTGTCACAGCATCTCATATCACACCCCAAGAGAAATCTGAACTGTTATCCACCTAGTAAGATATTTTTTTGTAAGATATTTTTAATGAATATCTGCGACTTCATTATCGCTGTAGGTCGCTATAGGGTAATTTTTTTTTTAGAAAAATAAAGTGCAATAAGCAGTAAAACTATTTGCGCTACAAATCAATGTGTATGATTACAATAAAAAATTTAAATGATAAATACCAGTTTCCAATATCAGACAGCATTACTAAAAGCGGAAGACACCAGAAGCTTTGCACACTTAAGTTAAAGGCGGCTGTGTCTGGTCTTACATTAAAAATGAGTTGGCTAGGACATGATGAGCTTGCAAAATACATAAAAGCAATGTAAACATGAAGTAAAACACTAGACTTAAACTGCCCACACACAAACAAATTATATGGCTTCAGAATACAGCAGTCTCTACAAACGTCTCCATAAAGATTCAGTAGGTTCATAAACAAGCAGCCAGAGTTCAAAAATCAAGACCATATCAACCCTTTTAATTATCCAACACTGACTATGTGTTCTGTATTGATTATAAAATGCTGCTACTTCCATATAAAGCTCAAAATGATCTAGCTCCTCGGTACTCTCAATCTCAGGATTTTGAATTCTAGACTATAAAAAGAAAGTGATTACTGAAAGCTTTAAATGGAATTCTGTTACTGCAGGATACCCATTGTGAGGTTCACTAGATCCTGTGCTAGATCCAGCCCCATATCCCATCTCATCTGTGCTGAGGAGCCATGCCTACTGCCAGCTAGAGTCTATACCAGACACAGAGAAACTCCACTGACCGCTGACATGAATTTACTTTTGCCATCAAAGTTTGTTTTCATTTTGGTTGATTAATAAAACCTATGCTCCTGTTTCCTTAAGATAATGCAAATCCAGAAATGTGTAAACAAGCCAAAACGGTTAAATATTTTACAAGTTTAAGATAGAATATTTTTCAAACAATCAATAAAACTCTAAAAAGAGAACAGGGTTTTGAAAGGTTTGTAACAATGTAAATGTCTTTACTGGCACTTTAATACATCCCTACTTAATAAAAGTATTAATTTCATTCTTTAAAAAAAAATACTGTACACAAACTTTTAAACAGTAGACTACATTTGTAATATAATACAAATTATTTTATTTTGCTGTTCTGATTGTTAAAATAAACATCACATAATTATTACAGATTAGAGGAATAGAGCCCATTTAAATAGCTTCAATATAGTTAGCTTCTTTTGGTTAGTAGCTTGTAATGTAACAAACTACTTTTTCAAAATGTCTCTTGGCTGTAGAGTGACTACTGTCAATTACTTCAATTCAAGTAACTTGAAAAATAGCTTCCTCAACACTGCAGTATTTAATTACATGATGTGTGAATTCAATGCAGAACTGTTAAGTTGAACATTGAACCAGATGTACATGATCTCTCTGCATTGTTTCTTTCTGTGCGCCTTCCTACAGCAAGTTGGACATTCCTCTGGCGGAGCAAGAGAGACTGAGGAAAAAGAGAGGAAGAGAGGGCTGGGGAGAGGCCAGCCATATCCAACCCTGCAGGCATGGCGCTGGTCCAAACCCTACACTGCTTAAGTGTGAACCCGGGGGAGGCTGCTGGGGTGCAGAAACCCACAATTCCAGCCGTCCCTTTACGTGCCAAAGCTATCTCACAAATATGATTACATATTCCCTCTTCCAACCACCATTATGGATTACATTAGATCTTAAATGGGCCAAATGCACACTACACTTGAAACGTACTGAAACACACACACGCGCGCACACACATTCAGGGCTCTTCAGCATCCCCCTGCTGTGCCCTCCCCTTCAAAGCTAGAGGGGATTCACATGAACCAAAAATGCTGATCCTTCACAAAAGCACTGGGCAGAGTGAAAGGTCATACACAACAGGCCTGGAAAATGCATGCCATCCTGGCTTTCCCTCTAATACCTTAAACCCCCTCACATTCCAGCCTAACCTACCTTTTCCTCTAATGTACAGATTCTTCCGTGTGAGATTGCCGGTTCTCTGGACATCAACCAACAGAAGCGCAGGATGCGTGTTATCAGTGCCCTTCAGGCGATGCCACTTTGAGGAGTGTGTGACCAAGAGCTTGGGGTGACGAGCTAAGTCGTTAACCACACCTTTGACCACTGCCACTCCCCACGAGTCAACGGTACAGGCGAGATGGCCGATAACATTTTCACAGGGAAAATCTAAACACAAAACAGAACAAAAGACCATGTTTAGAAAGTATTCACAGCTTTTGGCCTATCAAGGATATCTGGGACAAACAACACACACACACACACACACACACACACACACACACAGTCTAGTTTGCTCGGCTTCAATCTTATGGCATATTTTTCACAACCCATCAAATAAGTTATTGAAGCCAAATCGACTGCTTAGCAAACCAGACTCTCATTCAAACATAAGTGGTGTGATCAGAACAGGATAAGATGTCAAAAAGTAGTCTAGTATCAGAATACATGTCATTATGCTAATAAACCATAACTTATTTGAATACACTCAAGAGGACCATGCTAAGATGAGAACGGATAGATACTAAATCTACATTAACAATCCTGTGAAGATATGCAAAGTCTATAGCATAAACATAAATAAATATAAACATTACAAATAATGTAAGGTGCATGCAAATTCAAACAAATACAAAGACGATAAATAAATAAAAAATAAAGTAGCCTAGTGTGGTACCATAGTAAAGTGATGATATCATGTGGTAATACTATGGTACTTTGATTGTATAGTATGTATAGCTACCACCCTGAATGTCTACCGAATGTAGGCTACTATTAACATGCTTCAAGTATATTTCCAGAAAACATTGTCATTAATGTAAAAATTAACCATGGTTTTATTACAGTAAAAGTGTAGTAACCATGTTTTTTGGCGTATTCTGTTTGCCATTTGTATAACCACAGTTGTATTATGGTTAAACTATGGTTTGTGTAGCAAACCCAGTGGTTACCATAGTTTAGTATAGCATTTGTTGTGTTTACCTGCAGAAGTGGCTCAGACGCAGCACACCTGTGGTGAACTTGGATATGACAAACGACACGATTTTGCAGGTTTGGTTTCCATTTTTCTATGAAATATTCCAAATGGCACCCTGAACCCTCGCAGTCTTCCCCCTTGTCCAAATACCCACACTTGCGGTCTTGGCCACTTGAGAGGGCGTGCGCGCGATAGGAAGTAAGTGCGCAAGACTGTCCCAGGTCTTAAAAACGCCAGAGTGCAGTGCCCTTAAAGCACACTAAACCCACACTATCTCGTATACCGCTCCGGAGCGCTATTCGAGGCTTAGTGTATCCCATCATGCATCATGTTCTGGAAATAAATCGTGAGACTTTTTGCCGAGATCTCGCGAGAGGTCACGGAAACCTTTCCAATGTAAGTTAAATATTAATATAATAATTAGATATTACAAATAAGTGTTTTTACTTTTATTGGTGCAAAGATGAGTTGTGGTGATATTTATTTTGTACAAAAATTTTTTTATCATTTAATTAGAAGCACCACAAATTAAAATTATGTCATGGTATAGGGACTACTGAACAGACATTTAGAAGTTGATTTTAAAATGCAAAGTATTTCAAATTAAAATTAAAATAAAGCTGTGTAAACACTTGCATTTTTACAACACTATAAGTGTGTCCCATCAGATAATGAAAAGTTCGACACACACTTGTGGTCTTTACACCCACTTGAAGACTTCGGCCAAATACAGGAAATACGTCATTTAAGTAATCAAGTGGTCAAATGCAAAGACTGTAACTGTGGGTATTTGGACAAAGCCTTCCTCTGAGTCTGCACTTAAGTGACGTAGTGCCGCTTTGACTGTCGAGTAGAAGTCTGCCCCAGTGCTGGCTCGGCAGAAGTGCGTATCGAGGGTGCATAACGGCCGCAAAGGGGGTGCTCGCCAGCATCCTTCTGAATGCTAAAATGACGAATGGGACACCCCTATGGTCTCGTGGACTCAAGGGACACGCGGCGGCCATTGTAAGTCCTCAAGACCGAAAGTGCACATGAAGTGTTCCATTTGGGACAGGGCCTAAATGCTAACCTGTGTGATTGATTCTTTAAAAATAGAACTGACTCAAAAGAATGATTCATTGGTGAATCGACATTGCTCCATTTCAATTCTCCATTGAAAATACATGAGACACATGACTTGATGCTGAATTGCGAAACGATTTATACCGTTATGCTAACGCGGTTGACCGATTACTTGAAAAGAACCTAATAAAGAATGATTCACCTGCGAACAGTGCGATTTGTATTTTTAAACAGGAAAAAATTTAGTTCAGTCAGAGAAAATTTTTCTTAGGTTCATATAACGTTATTTCCCGAGAAATATTACAAAAACAAGCGTAACCTTTTAAAGTTTAAAGGGGTCATATGATGCGATTTCAATTTTTCCTTTCTCTTTGAAGTGTTACAAGCTCTTGGTGCATAAAGAAGATCTGTAAAGTTGCAAACACTAAAGTCACAAATCCAAAGAGATATTCTTTATAAAAGTTAAGAGTCAACCACACCTACCTAAAACAGCTCGTTCTAACACACCCCCACATGTCTACATCACTATGTGGGAAGATTTGCATAACGCCGCTTAAATGTTCACGCAAAGAAAGAAGGCTTAACTTTTATTCTCACTGTAGTATTGTTGCCGCCGCCGCCATGCCGTGGAGACGCTGTGTTTCGTTGTGAAAGCGAAACTACTTTATTTGGCCTTCCAAAAGAGGACGATATCCGCTTCGTCATGCCTAGAGCTGATCCGTGCTGGTTGCTGAGGAAATAAATCAACTTCGCGCTGTGGATCGCCGGATTGGCTTTCATCGTCGTCACATGTGGTTGCCGCAAGCCCGCCAGCCTCGCCGTTCTCAAGCCCACCGGCCTCCATTCACTCTAGGCCGCTGCCGCTCACTTTAGCCTGCCATGTGTGACGCTGTGTTTCGTTGTAAAAGCAAAACTACTTTGTTTGGCCTCCAAAAGAGGACACGACTAGAAATCAGTGGTTAAGTTGTATTTACAACCCCGTTCCAGAACACTTCAACCCAAATATTCAGATGTGTGCAGCACATTTTATGCAACGCAACGCGTAAAAAGACAGTATAAGTCATTATAATCTGTAATTATGTCCCCACTGGATGCAACAAATGCCTCGTTTATAATGAGTTTTAATGTTTTTGTCTCGTCACTCCGGCCTGACAGGGCATCACAGTATGTTAAGGAGCGTAACATTTCCGTCACACGCTTGAGGTATTTGGCCAATCACAACGCATTGGATAGCTGGCCAATCAGAGCACACCTCGCTTTTCAGACCGATGAGCTTTGTAAAAATCTACGTGTTTCAGAAAGGCGGGGCATAGAGGAGAAACAATAATGTGCAGTATATGGAAAATAATGTGTTTTTGAACCTTAAACCACATAAACACATTTCATTACACCAAATACACCACATAATGTTCTTTTTAGCAACATCATATGACCCCTTTAATAACTTACGTTTAATTTTAATTGTAGCGAATTTAACTCATGCGGAAATATGAATAATTAACCATAACTAATTATGATTAATTATTAATATTTTAGATCCACTGTAGATATTTAGCTGACCACTCAGGGTCAACCGTCTTGTCAATTCTAAGAACGTTAATTTCCTGGTTAAAGGAAATAACTTTCTTACTGTACAATTCTATAAGTTTGTAACGTAAATCTGCATGATTATTGACTCCGGTTATGAGTAAACAATGAACACGTCAAGTGTGATACAAGTAAGGTTTTATTAACTACATAAACACTTAAACTAGTCTAACATACTACATAAACACATTAAGCCGGTCTAACATACACATACACACACACACACATACAGTTGGTATAGGAAAGGGTTAAAGTTTAGCACTAAAGAAAGAGACATAAGGAATGACATTTATGGAACCATTTTGCATATTCAGCAGATCTAAAACCTGAGGGAAAACGTCAGATTCTTAGTTCAAACAAACCGTGTAAAAAGGTGTAACTGATACTTAATGCATCAATTAAATCGACTAAGTTTGATACTTGCGTATGTCTGAAAAAGATTCCTGATGCAATCTTAAGGCCCCAAGATCTTGCTGAAGTTGGTTGATGAGAAAAAGCTAGTTAGGACTAGGCGGCACGAGCTTTGGTATCCTGGAGCGTTTCTCACATCTTCATCTTAGCATCTCACTGAACCACCGAACAGCCGAACAGGCCTGGAGCCGGGCCTTTAAGGTCGGAGAAGATCTCCGCCTTTCAAGATGGGCTTGTCCAATGAGCAAAATGGAATTTCCGAGCGGGAGGTGGCAATTGCTGGAGGATTTACGACCCCTTTGTTCTCTAAGCATGGTAATTTGCAAATGGACTTAAATCGAAATTATTAACGATTCTCAGGGCCCTAATATATATTGCCTATGTACCACCATATAATATACACGCTTGTTTCGATCATACGAAGGCAAATTCATAGATACTAAACAAGGTAAGATTACATATAGTGAAAAGGGAGGATCAGGAATGGGTCCCCTCACAAGCATACTAAAATAGTCTAAGAATATCAAAGACAAAATACACAATGACAATAATATACTCAATGGCCTGAAGAAATATGTGTGTTCATTCAAATAACGGTTTTTCTATGAATTAACTAGAACACAGTCATTTCTACTCTGCTTTTCCTTGGGACAAAGAGTGGGCTATCCTTCTCACATTCCTGGGGGGTCATAAAACCAGTGATATCATGATTAGTTGTCATGGTGACCAGAGCGCCTGGTGTTCAGCAGACATCCTGGCATCCAGTTAATTGAGTGAGGGGACTGTGACGATTTGTTAACCTAATGAATAATTGATTTGTTAAATCAAATTAAAATTAGTGTGTCAGATTGGTCGAGACGCTACACACTATAAAAAGCATATTCCACTGTCAACCTCTTTTTAACAAAACATTTTGTCAATAAAATAGGATCAGTACATTCACTTCCTTCGACTTTGTTTTTTCTAGTACACCATATTGCCAACTTCACCATTCCATAAAGAAACTTAAGAATGATTAATTTTTCCTTATTTTCCACTGAATATATTGGGCCATAAATTAACAATGGAAAACTAAACAAACCCATTAATTTCAGACTCCAATCTTTCACCAACCGCATCAAATATTTTAAACAATGACACTCCATAAAAGCATGAATCACAGTTTCAGATATATTGCAAAATGGACATCCCTCCCCAACTAATGGATTCAGTTGTGCAATGTGTCTGTTTGTGGCTAAAACCCCATATACAATTTCCACTTAAGATCTCCCACTCTCTTCTCAGTAGGTTTTTTGTACAGGGACCACCAGCTACCTTTCGGGGAAGAGCCTGAACCTAACAACAAAGTCCATTTGCTCTCTGTTAAATCTTTAAGACTTGATAATTCAGACTTTTAACACATGCTATATATACAGACTTTTTTGATAAATTATTGAAAATTCCCATTTCTGGTCCAAATGCTACATAATATTACTAATAAATGTTACATTTAAAAGTTTAATATTAATAATATTACATTTACACTTTATGTGCTCACATCCAAATATTTAATTTTTTATTTTACACATACTATACAGATAAAAATACAGAGGCATGCAATTTTATCCCGTCCTCTAGCTCAGATCCAGTCCAGAGAAAAGACTTTACAAACGTGTGTTAATAATCTCTACAGAAACAACATTTCACATCATGTGTGAAAGCCGCATCGTCCCAGGCTGGGGCTTTGGAAAAATAAATCAATAAAAAACTAAATATAGGAGGAAGAGAGGGTAGAGAATGAGAAAGACAGAGGTGTGAAAGAGAGAGAGAAAATGGACGGACCACTGTTCTACAAATATTTGGAGATGTGGTGCTGTTTTCATTGCTGACATCAACATAAATTTGTGCAATGGGGCCCAAGATGCTCAGCAGGTGTCACTTTTTGTGAAAGGAGTAGAAGAGCAGTAGAAGGTGGTAAGAAAGGTTTTGAGGGTGCGAATGGAATGAGAGAGGTGGAAGACAATGAACTTTGCCCTTCTGAACTGTGCTTTCTCTCCCTCAGAGAAGTGTGGGTCATCTGCTCTCAACCCTCGGCCTTACCACCTCAC